ATATCGCTTATTTCGAGAAGAAATGGTTATACAGTAGTATGCAAGAATACCTTATATTCTACAAAAAATATATATACGGTTGATGGCCTTGTTATACTTTGTGACCAGGACAAGTCCACGTTCTCAAAAATGTTGGAGGTTCTGAATAAGGTTCCCGGCCTTTCTTCGGTCTCTTGAACCATATATAACATTTTCAGACTAGGACTTATTCTTTTTTTTACAATAAAGTCTGTTGCAGGGCAAGGCATAAGCAATTAAACTTCAATTTATATCCACCTGGTATACTAAAAGGTTTACTATACGGACTTCTCCGAAAATATTACAAGCAAAATAAAGGCATCGAAAAGCTTGTAAATAAGGGAACATGCATGCAAGAGAGCTACCAGAATATCGTAAAGGGAAAATTTTAAAGAGGAAAACCTTCTTTAAAACTCCCTATGCTCCGAATGGGTCGCCTAGACGTCAACTAAGACAAGCACTTCAAAAGGAGGGGATTGAGGTTACATTAGAGAACAAAATAAAAATTTCCACCTCTTATTTACGACCTCAAAGTATTAGAGACAAGTTATTGAAAAACAGGTTTACGTCACCCAACGAGACATCTCAAACTATCTTCAGTACGCTCCCAAAACTACATCCTCGAACAACTGAGGAGTTTTTTTTTTATTAAGAAAACTCCTTAATTTTAATTTTGGTAGTCAGTTTCTTTAATAATTTTTCATTAGTGCCCAAGAAAACACAAGGAGGGGCAACTACCTCTATCAATGAAAAATTCTATCAATGAAAAATTATATCGCTGATTCTACACGATCATTGTTATTATGAACACTATTATAGTAACCTTTGTATGTTACTGGTATATATGAGTGACGCATAATATAACATTAACATAGATGACCCACCTATAAACAACAATATATGGGTGAGTAAAACATTGATGTAAAAAATGTTAAGAATAACTCAAGCACAATCTTAATGGTCTATCAATTTCTAAAGAAAATATTAGAACTAGAAAGGAAAAGTGGATAGCTAATTCTGGAATTTTCAAGGATCAACCTCCTTAAGTTCAAGCGAAATTGGCAAGTATTTTAAGATCCAAGAAACTTATAAAGGAAATAATCAGTGTAGAAAACTTGTTGCAGTGAAATTTTCTGAACCACTTAAAATAAAATTTGGAACTCTGATCTAAACCAAGTAAGAAGTTCCGTGCTAAGGCCGCTGGGGAAGGTCTCCCCACAGGAGGGAAGCTTTTGTTTGCGTGCGCACAAATTTTTATTAAAGTTCCTTCATCATTGATATTGTTTTTACTTTTGCTTACCTTTTAATTATAACCTTTTTCTTTACCTAACCCTAACCTAACCCATATGAATATGAATATATATATATGCATGTATATGAATCTAAGACTAAACTTCTGAAATAGAACCATCCATCCACGCCGCGGAGACTCGACCAAGCTAGTAGTTACCCTTGACTTTATTAAATACTTTCTCCATTATTTTTCTCTCATTTTCTCTTGAATTCTCTTTTTTCAATAGCTCTCTCACGAATATTTTATTGTCTAGACGCCCCAGATCTTGTCTAAGATTAAAGGGAACCCTTTTCGTTTTCTTTAACTGATTTCTGTGTTTCAATATACAATATTTTACTTTGTACACCCCATTTCCAAGTACTTCTACTACCTCCCCTGAACCTTCCTTAGGATTGCTCCGGGCCCAGGGTTACACATTGCTTAAGAGAGTTCTAAATTTGCAGTAAATAACTTAACTAAAAATCAGGTTATATTATGGATATACGTATCGAAAGATAGGCTCTTAAAACTGGTAAACCCCGAGGCAGGCTTTGTCCATTGAGAGGTGCTATCTTCCCCGTAACATGCAGCAAACACGAATGGTTACTAACATAACAGAACATATCATATCATATAACTTTGTTCACCAACGAGACTTGTTTGAACCTAATGTTGGCTATGGTGCTGACAGATAACACTGAATACACAAAGAGATAGCAATTCTAACTTTGTTAGGAAAGCTCCGCTTTGAGTGCTAGCATCGCCTTCTGAAACCATTTGTTCTTATACATGGTGGAAGAAGAGCAGTCGTTAACATACATTAACACTGTTAAAAAAAAATTCTGCCTAAACAGCTAAGTGATGCATAAAACTATAGTCATCCGAATGATGGGTTGAGGCCGAAAGTCATGGCGAAAAAAGATATGTATAATGAGTGATGTAACCTAAAACTTGCGTTATGTTTCCGGGGCTAAGTAAGATCTGGGTATCGAATGGTATGATCTTAAACAATTTTTCGTGAGGTGAAATTCCTCTCTAAGCTGCCCAGTAGCTCGCGCAAAGATGTTAGGCTTCAATGGCGGCTTTCACCTTTGCTTTCCATTCAGCTAACTGCCGATTGGGTTCTGTAGTATAGCGATGAATCCAAGATCATGCAGTGTTACATGTAGCATAATAAAACCATTTTATTTCGCGCAAACAGCATCAAAAAGCGTTCCGAATCGGCAACACGTTGTTGTTTTTAGTCCACTGCAAGCAAACGAGGTACCCATTTTAAACAAGGATTTCTCATGCCAAAATATTCGTGCAAAATTTAGCCCACATGATAGATTTCCCACTCCGCTAAAAAGGGGACGCCCATCTACAGGGGGGAAGAAGTTATTTATTAAGGTATTGAATTCTAGCACCATTAATTCTTGTGACATCAGCACGAACATCAACGGCAATTTTGTAATTTTTTTTTTGATGTTTTCTGAAGCGTTCAACATCCCTTGCGTTTGTACGACCCCGTTTTGAACTCAGAAAACCGCTGACGAATCGTTGTTTGTGACGGACAGGTCCTTAGAACACTTTTCTATCTATTAATATTGAAGGGTATTTTTCATTCTGCAAAATCAAGTTGATCAACACACGAAATTCGTCTTTTTCCTAAGTTAACGTCACTTAAAGTTCAATATATCGGTAACATATGGGTATGTTGGTACTAACCGAGTATAGTGTGGGTTCTTTGATAGAAGGCATCAGTGGGTTAGTACAGAAACTATATAGGCGACGGGTTATTTAAGTTATAGTTTAATTATTAATTTTAAAAAATTAATTATCTACATATATGAACATAATGTTAATATTTTATACTAAAAATTAATAATATTTAACAACAGAAATTGCTAGCGCTACTTCTTAAGATTGTTAATAATTAAAATGGGAGAAATACAAAAGAAAAGTACTTATGTTATTTAAATACTTAATAAAGAAAAGAAGCTTTTCTGGTATTTAAAAAACTTAAATTTTTTTAAAGCAAAATATTAATCATAATAAATAATTACACTGAACCAACAATTTTTCTATTATTTTTCATTAATTATTATGATAACGAGCTCTAGACTACATAAATAATGAATTAATTAATACCTAGCAACAAAGTGCAGGATAATAACAAAAAACAAAAGGGTTAACAATAAACTTCTAAAGAGTAAAAAAATAAATAAAAAAAAATGAACTAGCAATATTACAGTTTCCTTTATTTAAGAAACTTGGTTAGAACTAATCAACTGTTTAAAATTCGTCCGTAAAAGTTGCTTTACATTCACTGATGTTTCCTCATTAGAAACTTGTTCCAATTTTTTAGTATTGTTAATTCTAGCTTTACCCTGTGCGTAGTCAAGTTTAAACTGTTGCGCTTATAACTAGGATGGTTAATTAAAAGAGAGGAAATTAAGTATATTGAATTGCTTTACACCCGCACCTAAGAAGGGAGCCAAGGGCAACTGAGGTTGTTCACACCCAAATTTAAACTAAAAGCGACGCCACGCAACTATAAATAATATTCCTGCGACTTATGGGCTTAACTAAGCCTTATAATTGTCTAAGTGGCACTCCTTATTAGTCTATTTCATCAAAGTGAGGCTCCAAGTAAACAACTAGTAAAAATCAAGAGATATTGTTTAAATTCTTATGGATTACGGTTTACTACGTTTACCACTTCTCGCCTAGGTTCAATTTGCAAGAGTAGGTCTATGGAAAGTAGTCCTAAACGGTAGGCTCGGTCCTTGAAACAATCTCTGGTATGTTTGAGTACCATGTTGTTCTTAAAGTTTAGGTAGCAATCAAAAAACATATAAAAAGAAGTGGTTAATTTAGTTACCAGTGAATGTGAAATAAAAAATCTATTTTACGTCCCAGAGTTTTGTCCGTAAAAGGATGAATTGGCCTTTATCGCATTATTTTATTCTAATGGATACTTTAAATTATATACTTGTCATTAACTCCTGGCACTCGTTCGAGTAAATAAACCGCATACCCATTTTCAATTTTGGAATTTTAGACCCTTACTATAAAATTTTATATGCTTAGCAGGTATAATTCAGAGATAAGAAAAACTAATTTTTTTCAGCTCGAACTAGAAACTACTAAAAAAACTATTATTCAGTGGACTATATTATACTTGGCCCTACGGGAGGGAGGGGGGTGAAGGACTTAATATTTCAATTTGACGACTTTAACTTAAGAAAAAAATAAACTACGACGACCTAAATTATTTTTCACAATTAGAGCTTTAGCTTTGTAAGTCATTGAGACTAAGTATATAATGCACGGAATACCTTTTTAACTAGTTAAAATTCTAATTATAACGTTTTATAGCACGCTAATACGTGTAAACAATTCTTTAGGCATTAATCAAGAAAAGCCCCCAAATTAGTTATAATTGTACTTACACCGACATATAAGATTTTTCGACTTCCTAACCTTATTTTTCCATTATATTGTAAATTATTATAGTCAAGAAATTTTCTTTTAAAGAATTTTTTTAAGATTGTACCATTATTCAGAGTTAGACCAACGGGTTCCAAAGTTTATTAATTAACTATATTTGTATCTGTGCTTTTTCTACTTCCTTGTTTTTTATATGATTCGTCCTATGCAACACCCTTTTTAAATTGAGGTTTTGTGCTAATAATAAACTTGTCACATTAGATTAAAAAATAGAGAGTGAGTATAATGTTGACTTTATTAAAAGATATCTCTCTCTTTCAAGAGGTCAAAGCACAAAACTTTTTTTATGCTATGGAAATATTCAGATGTTCTGCACCAGCAGGCTTAAATGTAGGATTTACTAAGAAAGTTCCTTGTCTCTGTGCTTTCCTGTGACATAGCTTTTCCACTACCTTTCCTTTTCTCTTACGATAATACACCGCCAGTACACTAACGACTAATATAATTGCAACCGACGGACAGCTTATGATCAATGCATATTTTAGTAGGTTTCCATTCCTTGAAGTAGCTAACACCCCCTTAAAAATTAATCTAAGTTTTATAATACTTTTTTTTTCAAATAATAGAAACCTTTTTAGTACTTCTATCATTCTTTTTTAAAGTTTTACGTCCAGCAGTAACCTAAAAAAATATTGTCTTCTTAACAACCACTGGTTAAAAAAAAATAATAATACCTCTTCTTTGGCTTCGCCTTGGTTTAAACCATGTTTCTTTCTAAAGTTACTGTTTATCCTTTCCTAATTTATGTAGTTATTCATTTAATTACAATTTTATATTATAAAACAGCGTGTGTGCCTGGGTGTTAATTTTACAAGTATCCACCACAGAGTAATCGTAATTAGGAGAACTTTTAAGTTCCTTGGAGTTCCTTCCATCCTTTAAATTTTTCTAATATAAAAATAACGCTGTCAAGAAAAAAGTTTACTTTAACGATTCCCTTAAGTTATATTTTTACTACATTAACAATTTACTTAAGGGCTCTTTACCATGAATTAACGAATTCGTTAGTCGGGAACTCACAACCCTGTTATACTAATATGGTAGGATACAGGTCGTTAAATAAATGTGAATTCGAATAAAAGAACTTTTGTGATCTTATAAAACAGAAATAGGTTTATTACTCAAAGCTTTGCTTTTTTAATGCTAGTGTCCAACTATTATAGAGATATTTACTCTTATTCTCCTAATTTTTTTTACGGAGTTGCTGGCAACTTGCGCTTCATGAGGAATAAAAGGAATTAGGGGCACTACTCCATCGTCGCTCGATAAGTGATTAGAGTTACATTCCTTTGAAGAAATTTTAGAAAATGCCTTATGAGCCCCATTGTGAGTGCACAATAAATCGGGGAAGTTTAGAAAGCTATAAGTGACACGTGAGCAACAAAGAAAAGTTTTATCCAGTCCAATAACCCTAATGAGAAACGAATGTTACTCCACATAAATATATGTAAAAGAACGTATATTTACTTACAAGTGGGTAAAATTAAAACTGCTGCTGAAAGCATTAGGTCCAATTTCGGTAATAGGATTTTTATAAAGGTTCCTTAATGACATTAAACAAAACACTTAAATACATGTCGTTTAGATAAATAAATCAAATATTATGGCTTATAATATAGTTATTTAAGTCTTAATAAATACTACCAGAAATTATTTTTATAGATGAGCATAAACACTTACAGGTAGGTTAGCTTTCCTAACATAGAAAAGGCTTGGGAAGAAACTGATTTAATTTTATTATCTAACAGGTTTCTGTGTTAAAACTATCAATAAGTGAAACAAAATAGCATTTACTTTGAAATTATTATAAAACCAATTTCGCAACTTTGCTTAATGTAAGAGACAATGAAATTTGAATATAAATAAATTTGCATTAAGTGGAATGAAGAAAATTTTAAAGAATGTGAATTTAAATAACTAGAGCCATCGTATTCCCAAGCATGGTATTATAGTTGAAGTTGCATGAAACTTTAAAAATATACCCACAAGTGCTAATTTGAGACTAAAACCGGAGATATTCTTATTTTTTCCAAATAGAGATAAAAATTTTTTTAATAACATAATATCCACATTATAAGTTTTTTTAAGCTATATTCCTTTATTACCATTAATTTTAAAAAGAATTTAAATACTTTTTTCCATCACTTTAAAAAATAAATTTAAAGTTTCGAGTGTAAAAAGTAAAAAGTAATAAGTGAGTATTGCGTAGAGAAGGAAAAGTTTATATACTAAATATTGTAGCCTCTAAACTTATTAAATTTCATTATTAAATCTAATTATTTTTTTATTTAAATTTCATAATTAGATAATTATTCGTACCATCATAATAAAACTACTGTTAACGGCGCCTAATAGTATTTTAAATTTATCTACAGGTTACTAAACTTAAATTTTAAACTTACAACAATTGTAGTTTATGTAGACCCTTGAACGTTTCCCCACATATTTTAGTAATTTTATTGTAGTGTAAATTCCTTTAAAAAATATTTATAGGATAAGTAATTTATATAAGGCCCGTTAAACCTTAATACAATAAACTTTACAAATAACTTTAAAAATTCTATTATATTAAGTTTTTTTTATAGCTCTAAAACACATAAAACGGGATTACTTTCACGATAAAATACTTCTGACAAGCCAAATTTACGGAATATATATTTTTACAAAAGTGTTAACGCCGAAAGACTAGAAAATGCGCCATCAGAAACTGATTCAATGGAGCAGTTATAGAGATACCTAATCATGTATCATTGATAGTAAAAAAATTAATAGAAATACATTTCTTTCGGTTAAATGGACAGTAGCTCGGTATTACTTACAAAGTTTTATATAATAACAAGATCCTAATATATATTTTCATCATGTAAAAGTAGAGGTTTAGGTATAGCTCTCTAAATGTTTTTTTAAAGAAAGTTCATATTGTCCACGAACCTAAAACTAAATCTTTTAATAAAATAATGAACATTTTTAATTAAATTTTATTTATCAGGATGGCTCTGCCAAACTAAAACGCTACATCGATATTCTAGTCGGAAAATTATGGTGTCTTAGTTTTTTATTGAAAAAAGTTATTATCTAGCCAGTACTTTGATTATTATATTAAAAAAAAAACTTTTTTTCATTTATATTGCAGAGTACTAGCAATATACTTGTAAACTTGCATAAATTAAAACTTACAACTCGGTTAATTTGATATGCTCTTTAAGGAAACTACCATCCACCGAACCAAGTTTGTTACCTCCTAAATTTCTAAAGCAAAAATATATTTAAGTACAATTAACAATTGTTAAATATTTTAACAAAATAAAATATAAAGTTGATGGTTTTAATATAAATTTTGAGCAGTGAGCTAAAGTTCTTCGTAAACAGTTAATTTAAATTAAAGTAACTTAGAGAGCAAAAAATATATTCTAAACTCAAGTTTTATACTATATATATCCATTACTTACAAATAAGTTAAATTTGGTAAACAAAAATCCGCACAGTAGGGCATCGCGGCGAGCCTGTTATAATGAAGGGATCTATGCGTGGTATCGTGTTAAAAAGAGCTAATGGAGGTACGTGTGAAATTATTGCTTCATTTTGAAGTATTTTATTAAAGAGCTTGGCAAACCAGCCCAATAGCGTTTACAATCAAATTAAAGACCACATATTAATCTTTTATATCTCATCATAATATCTGTAGCTTGAGACTATATAACTATAACCTACTACTTCTAACTAGCTGAGTAACTTTTAGTGGAGGTAAAGTATAAGAGACAAATACAGAACTTGTTGGTTTCCTTAAAGAAAATTTACAACTTTTACTAAGGTAATACTTTACGACAGGTATACTAATTAATAAGATATTATAAAGCATTTTTAGTCTATCATTATGTTATTTCGTAAAAGGATTATTCTTCACGATATTTATATTTATTTGCTGGTTCCACAGTGTTAGAAAAATAAAAAAATTAATATAATATGAAAGTTCATGACAAAAAAGCGCTTACAAAAAATTTAAAAGTTTTAAATTAGCAAAAGCCGCTTCTTCAATCCTTTCGATGCTATTATCATCAAGATACCTGGATTGTTAACGTTTATAATGATTACCGGACACTTTACATTACAAACTAGCTTAAAACATTCGATCAGCTAGCCTGTGCTAATTTTTTCAGGGGGCTACTGAACATACATATGAAAGGATTCTCTTCTTTAAAGAGAACTTTTAAATCTCTACTTCGGCCTTAAATATCATATACAATCTACAAGTACAAGACGAAAAAAGTCAAAGAATTAGGCACGAAAAACTTACAAACGTTCTAGACTTTCAAGACCATCAAACATATTTTTTTTAATCACTCTAATCATGTTTTTTTCTAAATTCCTTTATAAAAAAAAAAAGTATTTTTTAAAAGCTACGTCAAGTTTAAATAAATTTTTTTTCTCTGAAATAATTTTGGGTAGGCCAAACGCTGTGATGTCAATATTTTTAAAGTTACTACATTTTTGTCTAACTTGATTTGGTTTTTATGAGATGGGCTGTATAATTTAAATAGTTTTAATGGGTAATTAAAAAAATGATTAAGCTTTTTACTGTAAGGTTTTTATACTCAACTACATCGAGACAATACGAATATACACTTACAATGTTTGCAAGTTAATTAAATTTTTAAAAACTTGATTTTCAATGGAACTAAGTTCATTACTTCCTAAATTACTTTAAATTATAGTTAACAACGTAGTTTCGGAAATTGTAGAAAGATATTATATACACCTAATTAAGTATTCTCTCTTTAGTGATAATTAAAGTCAACAGACTATTGACAGTGATGTTAATTTACTCAACGAAGTTCTCTATAATCAACAATATGAGGTATTCGGGTCATGACAAGATTTTAATAATATTTTTTTGTATAAAAACAACTTTATTATAACTAAATAAGTTTTTTTTTTTTAAAAAAGAGAGGAGAAAAACTTCCAAGTTAGTAAAGGTACTAAGAAGTCGTAAAAATCCAAACAATTAAGAAAATTAAAATTGCCACAGCTTTAACATTAAATTGTTTAAAGGAGCGAAATATATATATATAAATGAGATAAAACAAGAAATGCGCCGGGATACATATATAAATATAGTACTAATTCTATTACACACCCAATTAGATTGAGTATGCATTCTTCGGGAAAAAAGGAATAGTGTATTTGTGCCATTACTCAATGTGTGTCATATACGATTTATGATTGCAATGTTTTAAGCCTTTCAAGATCGCTGAAGGAATTAGTCTTTATTAATTTAATTTTATTGCCGTACAAACTCCTTCAAAAAATAACAGTCAGTCGGTGTATATTGCTAGCTTTAACGTATAATATTCTAATGGTCATCTTATAACAGTTAAACTATGATCCCTGTAAATCCTTCTGGGGTAAAATGGTAATGAAAAATTGACGATAGGAAGTTGTTTATTATGTTAAAGTTAATAACAATTTTTTTCATAAATAATTTTTTAGTATTAACCTTCACGATTCTTTTTAAAAATATAAGGTAAATATCACTCTAAGTAGTTGCTTTAATAATTGGATTTTTATATAGTTAATTAAGAATTACTGCTATGGAGTTGACATGAATAAATTAAAGCGTTACTTTGATAAAATAAATGGAAAGAAACCAACAGAAACAAATAAAGTGCAGAATTAACTTACAGAACTCTAAGGTTCTTTAGGTCCTTAAATAAGTTTTCGCCAATAGAAGTGATTTCATTGCTACCCAAGTTTCTTTAAAAATTATTTTATAAGCGTATACTATCTTCAAATAGTAAGCTTTAACAGAAAGGGTATAATATAAGACTTTGCATAAACAGGAAAGATATGGTTCAGGAAAGTCAAGGAGAATCTAATATAACTTCTATAAGTTTCTCGCTCGAAAAGCTTTACTTAATAGCCAAAATTTATGATGTACTACAATCTTTAATAAGGACAACGTATCAACGGCATTAATGTACCATCCTGAGATAAGCATATTTGAACTGCATAAAACTAAAAGTTTTGTCATTCTATATTCCGATTCATCTATTTGTGAATGGTTGCTATGGAGCTATATTAAATTAACAAACTTCTATTATATTGGGCTCCCTATCTGAAATAATCTCGTATTCATATCTAATTGTTTAATGGCCACATGCATTTAGACAATGTAAAAAGAACCATAAAATCTACTTAGTTCCACTTTTTGTGAAGATAGAAGGGCTTAAAAAGTTTAGTAAACTTATAACGTACAAATTATTTAGTATGGTAAGTCCTTTAAACGCTTTTTCGCCGAGATAAGTAATTTTACTTTGGGTAATTTCTCTGAACAAGCATAATTAAGTTAGTTCTTACAATATTCAAACCTTATACAGGAGGACTTACAAAGAGCGTACGCTTGAGGGTAGCTCCTTACCAAAAGGAGGAAATGTAAAGAAGGAACAGTGCGACCTCTTTCTAGATTTTATAAAATTATTAACGCTATCCAAATATTGATTATTTACTGAAAGAGATGTATTAGGGAATAAGGTTAACTCTATAATTATTATACAGTTAATTTTTCAAAACAATTTAAAGTATTGTTTTACTAAAGTATGTCAATACACTGACTTAAAAGAGAGTGATACCAGTTACCTTTTTCATATTAATATAATTATATGTGTGTGTTTTCCTAAAAAGTCTCCATATGTACAAGAAAGTAAATTACATAAAAAAGCCTGTAAGAGGGTCGTCACATTCAGAGTGAGAGATAGCCCTAAGTGTGAGTGCCCCAAAGAAAAGGGAGAGTAGAAAGCTCATAGTTGTAAAATTTATTGAATCTTTTCAACTTTAGCCCTGTAGACTAAGGTCCTCGAAAAAACCATAAACAAATAGCAAAAAGCACAATGAAAAACCGAGCTTGCTTATTAATAATACTATACAGATATATATAGAATAAAAATAATGTTTAAGAAACTGCGTTTCTTAATCTAGCAGAATCTTAGATTTATGTTGCCAGAAATAAAAATTATTGTAGTTAGAATGTGGCCCATTATAAATTTATTTTGCGCGCTGACAAGTGGATCACCTCGACTATGATAACACCAGGAAACCTTCAAAGTTAAAAGTGATAACAAAAACTGAAATTGGAAAGAGGTATGCCTGTTATGAATACCTTAAAATACTATTATATTTAAGTTAGTTACTTAGATTAACTAATAATTATTTAAATAAAATGCTAACAAACATAACTTTTTTAATTAGCGAGTAGAATAGCATTTAGGAATACCCTTTGGGAATTATATAATAGCAAATATTCGTTAATATACTTTACCAGTTAAATTAATAATACTATCCTTCTTTGAACATATATGAATGGTGTATAAAGGAAAGTATTTTTTCTGTTAACTTTTTTTTAAAACATGTTTAAATAGAAGTTACTAATGGCAGTTTTTAGCGATTAGATCTTTTTTTTTACTAATCTTTTATATAACTCAATTTGTGTATTACTTTTAATTTTGTAGTTAAGAAAAGTGGTTTAAAAATTCTACCAAAATTATAACTAATTTTATAAACATGATTTAATATTTAACAAACTAAAAATGTAGCAAAAAAGCTTTTTAATAGCCAATAGTTTTAAATATTTTTATGAACGAAATGATGCTATTAATCACATAATTTATGCGTAGCGTTTTAACCTTAATTTTTAAACTAATTAAATTTTGCAGTTAAATATAATTTATTAAAAAATAAAAATAGACAATAAACCTAAACTAAACGCTTTTTTAAAATCTGAAGAGTTAGACTTTGTTCCGTTATCGAAGGAGACATTTTTGTCACCCAAACAAAGTTTCTTTACCAGAATTGCAAAACAACGTTAACTAAGATTTTTGATTTTAAAATTTCTCGTTAAGCTTTATATGAGCCCAAAATGTATATTTTATAAAGTAGTGGGTAGTAAAAGGTATAAAATATATTTAGTTGTATATGAACGATATTTACAAGCATGGATAGGAAGGACATGAAGTACAAAATATACATTTTTAATTTACAACGAACTTAAATATTTAGTACACATAAAACCCACTAAAATTGGGTACATCTAGATTAGCAAAGGAAGCTTAGCAAATCTTTAAAGATTTTCAAACATTTATTTAATAGGCTAGTACAACTTGAAAATATTGTCCACACGTGAAAACCAAGTAGAACTCTTTGTAATATTAACTCTCCACAAATAATACCCTTATACAAAATATAAGGAACAATTTTATTTCAAGGGGGCTTTACATAAGTTCAAAAAAGGTATAGAATTTATGTAATAAATAATCAGGGACTTTTTTGCCTCAAGCTAGGATGATACAAAAATAACTAGTAGTTACAAGTTCCACAAATAGAAGTGACAGTTTTTGGATTCTAAACTGGTAGATTCTTGTGTGCCATAGGATACAGTATCTGTTTATAACAACCAAAAGTATTAGAGAATTTTATCAATTTTATTATTTCAAGTGGATGGAAGAGCTACCGGTTTTAAAATTTAAAAGTTTAAATTTCTCGCTCGGTAATGCTTATATATTAATTGAGAATTTTGCGAATTTATAAACTCACAGCTTATACGTAATAAGGAAAACTTATTTGACTCCGTTAAAAAACTGCAATAAATGATTCTTTTTCTTACTAATAAACAATTTTTATTTTATTTTTTTTGATCTTAATTTGAGTGCTTTTATTTTTACTTTACTTCGGACTGGGGGTTTTATTATATTTTTAAAAATCTGCTTATAACCACTGTTTAAGTAATTTAAAAAAAACTAAAATACATTTTGTAAATGTAACTAACTTTGAGTAACATTAAACACATTTATAATAGTAAAATGTGTTAAAACAAATTAGTTATAAAAATGCGCTTATTTTATAAAAGTTTTATAAAACTGGAAAGTATTACTTAGTATGTAGTGCCATCTTCATACCGAAATTAGACTAGTAAGAACAGTTGGTCTTTTTGCTCAATACCTTACTTAATTATAAAACATTTTATAAGCAAAAACTTTGCATTAGCCTAATAAAAATAATATAAATGCAGCGAAAGAACAAATTATAATGACCTGAAATTGTTACTTAATGTAAATGCTTCACTTTTTAGTAATAATCCTTACGGTACAATAACAAGGACTTTTTTGCCTCAAATTCACTTTGTAATTATATGATATTAAAGGTAGCAAAATAGTAGTTACAGTTTCCATTGCCAAGGCCTTGAGAGGGCAGGCATTGTAAATTAAGTTTTCAGAAATAGAATTAGTAGAACCTACTTAGCTTATTAGAAAGTGGACTAATTTTTAGATAATATATGTAGAAAATTCAGCCCTGGGAAGCTTAAGATAACTGAAACACCCCTGAGCTGTGCTACTGTAAACTAAAAAAGAATAACTTGCTTTAAATTGTCAGACATAAAGTCGAAGAAGACATAGGACGCACCTTAAGATAGAACTCAAGTCCGGTACTTATTAAACCGTGCATTACTTTTTAGGAAATATAAATCTTTTTACTAATAAAATCTATACATGATAATCCGTATTCTACGACTTGTTCAGAAAGCATAATCTGCAAAGTTTAAACCAATATTTTTAACTGGTTACTGCGACTTTAGTGAATTATTCTTCTCTAGATTTGAAAGTAACTTTAGTTTCTTAGTACTTTAGGTTTATTACATTTTACGAAATATTTGTTAATTTTAACAAATGTGGATTTCACACGCTGTAAATCTTCGAGAACTTGTATATTATAGACAGCAAAGTAATATAATATAGATATAAAGCATACTAGAGAGAATAAAGTAAAATAATACAAGGAAGTCGAAGTACTAGAAAGCACTATAAATTTTGGTTATTACAGACCTCCAGACGCACAAAGGAAATGAAAGGAAACTACAGCAAGTGAGCGAGACAAACCATAAACAAAAGAAAATATAATTTATAAGTATTAAACTTAAATTTAATAATAATATTAACTTAAAAGATAAAATGTATATTAAAAGTATTATAATAATAATAATAAAAAAAAGGTAATAATATTTAGTTGAAATATAGTACATATGTATAAAATACAGTAAAAAAAAGTAATTGAATTTTACATTAAAAAAAAAAAGAAATACAAATACAATATATACAAGGAAAAAAGTTATTAATAGGCACAAGCACATACTATAAATAACAAGCTACATTCAATTTTATTTGATAGTTTTATTTCTTTTTGCTGCAAATTTTTGGTGATTATAATTTTTTTTAATAGGAACTTATAACTCGCTACTCCAACATACTTTAGCTTTACTTTTGAAGATAAACTTTGAATTTATAAAATTATTAAATTTAATAAACTTAAGATTTTTTTTGGAATAAAATTTCAAAACGGTATTGCATAGGCTATAATAAATTTTCTTTTCGTCCTGATTTATTTTAAAATTAGTTTAATAATTATTTATTTTAGGCTGACACAAATTTTTTTTTTTTGAGATAAATAAAAATTTATCGTGATTTTTATATTATTTTTTTTAAAAAAAAAATTTAAAATTTTACCTTTCCATCTAAAAAGTTTAAAGCAACTATTTTTTGAATAAAATAAATATTTTAAAATACTTAGAAAGTCAAAAATATTACAATAATAAAAAATTACATAACGTTAGCATTTAACTAAAAATATATTAAATTTCAATTTACTTTAAGTTCTTGTTTATTTATTTTTTAATTTAAAGTTTATTATTACTAATATAATTTATATTGATCTCCTCGCAGGACTAAGGGGTGGCAGAAAAATGACCACAACTTTTCATTTCTAATATTTTATTAAGCTTTCCATTTTTAAAAAAATTCTTAGAAAATTTATTTTTTATTGTCTGTTGTATAGAATACCAGTGGGATTCACTTTTTAATTTTTAATACAACTTTGTGTTAGCCTTGGCCCAATCTGCTACCACAATAGATTTAGCTGCTTAAGAAATTAAGATATTTTCGCCCGTCGTTTTGAGCTTGGATTCCATTATTACTATGGTCAGTATACGTTGCGCTCTTCTCTTAAAGTTAAGCTGTTTAAATAAACCACCCAAGGAGTAGCGAAGAGGAGAATGAGGTTATTAGGGTTACGGTTACGGTTAAGGGTAAAGGAAGGTGGGTGAATATGAAACAGTTCTGTTTTTCTAAATTAGAGTCAACATAAAGTTAAGGCCGTGCCCACCACAGTTCTTAGAGGTATATATCTAGTATGTAACTAAGTATGTAACCGTAGCCACTACCCCGTTAAAGAATTTTGTGGATAATATTGCTCGACCTGTTATACAAAGATTAGTCGGCCTTATGTGTACACTGCAAAGACTGATATGGAGTATCTATCCAATTTTCCCGCGACAATCGCGTAGAACAATTTAAATTACTTTGTGATACAGGTGAAAAATTATTGTTAGATGGAATAGTTAGTAGTATGAAAGAATCTTTCAAAAAGTTTGTGACACTTAAAATGCTAGAGTGATCGCACACAATTCAAGAAATTCCAGAACCTGATTAAACTAGAATATTCGCACTCACTGGGTGTTTTCATTCTTGTAGCCTACGACGATAATAACTTGCCTGCTTACATTGCCACTATGAGTCGAAGCAGAATACCTCTAACTTAGAAAATAGTTTGCTTTTTCGGTTACAAAAGGACAAGGGGGATAGAAAAGCCGTTGACAAAGTTGCAGCCATAAAAAAAGATTCCCATCTGGAACATTTCTAGTTAGGAGTAGGTGTACGTTTAAGAAAAAACAAGCCTGGAAAATCTGGCATTCTTATATGAACTCCTTGCAAACTGAAATGGAAGTTTACGCTATAAAAGTTAAAAAAAGTAATTCAAATTCTAGAAGGTCTACTGGTAT